CAACTGGGTTGAAGCCTTAATCAAGACCTTAACTCATTTGTATAAATCAATCTGGATACCCCACTGTGCCACAGCAAATACTTCTTTCCTTACTGGTATCAAATGAAACAATAACTCTCACAGTAACACATCAAAACAAATGATCAAAAACCCAGCTAAATCCAAATCTTTCAACAACTCCTCCACTTCAATATCAACTACTATAGATTTACCTACATTAGTGGCTGATTTTTATATCCAAAATAGATTTAATTTCACTAAGTGCATTTTCAAATTAATTTCAGATTATCTTAATTTTCTTCTATCTAATATTGAGTAGGTAATCATAGCTGCTCGGAGCCTCTTGACAAGATATATTGTTTTAAAATTTCTTTTCAATATTAGTCTAGTGGTTACTGTAGGCAAGCTAGCATTTAACTCATTGTACTATTACACATGAGAGATATTGTTTCTTTCATAATATATATCTATTACTACAAATTAAATAAAGAAATAATGTTTACCTACAAAAAAAAAAAAATAAATAAAATAAAATAAATTCATTTTAGTTTGTATCATAAATTTATTTAAACATGATAAAAATGCTTCTGTAATACTATCACCTGAATGAATATTTCACAATTGTATAAAATCTATTGTTATATTTTATATTATTCAATTTTTGTTAATAAAATATACAGTTATAGTTAGACATACTTTTATTGAAACCGATATTCAAATATCTAATATAAAAGAATTTTAGTATCCTGTTTTTTGTAATATTTTTTGAATTTTTTCTTGATTATTTAAATAAAAATCCATTATACAGTACTTGTTTTAATAGAAGTAGTTAAAGATATTTTTGTATCTAATGCAAGTGTTTATATAAATTCAAGGAAAACTTATTTTTGAATAATCGTAAATAGCTACTGGTTTATAACAATTTAATAAACAAGTATTTTTTTTATTTTTGCAAGATCATATATTCACTAAATATAAATAAAATTTAATAATATTTTTTACAATATTTCAAAAATTACTTTTGTTTTAAAAAAATTTACTATATTGAAATTATTGATTACTAGATTTGATTTTATCAGGTAAGTTTTTTTAGGATGTTTGATAAAATTAGAAATATTATTTCCATTATATATATATACTGTTCTATAATATTTACAAGTAGTCTTTTTGTCATTTTTAAAATTTGAACTCTTTATAAAATATTTTTATGCTTTGCTCCTAAAAATTATTAAAATAATTGAAATAGTTTTTAATAAATTGCTTGTATTAATATTGTCATTATTATTATTATTATAGTTTATTAAACCATAATTTTTTTTATACAAATATTGCATATTATCAGATAAATTTTTATGTTTTATTTTTAAAAAATATTTAAATTGTCAGAAAATAAGCTGTATTAATTAAAGCAATTAAATATAAAGTTATAATATTAAAAATTTAAAAAAAAAACTTTTTAAAATCATTAAAAAATTATTAAAAGGATAGAGCAAACAGATATTAAATTTTTTTTAACATAAACTTTTATACATTAATTAAAAAAAACAAGTTTTTCATTTTAATTTTCTAGTTGGTTCTATTGAAATTAAATTAAATAGCTATTTAATAATTTATATAAACTAAGCTATATTTAATCTGAATCCAATTCATATCCGATCAGATTTAAAAATTAAAAATTTGATTTGATTCGAATCCGATCATTTTAAAAATTTAAAAATTTGATTTGATTTAATTTGTATCTAATTTGTAGATTATTTAGATTTGAATAAAAACTGTAATTTCTATAGATCGGTAATTATATTTAGAAATATTGATTAATTAATAAGTTACTGGATACAAATTCCATTTGCTTTTGTTTTATTTAGAAAAATTATATTTATCTTTTGAAGAATTTGAATTTGTATTTTGTAATTTGATTTGTGAAGTATTAATTATTATGTTATAAATTCACAAGTCATTTAATAAGTATAATAATAATAATAAGGATGATTCTATTAATATCAAAAGAATATAGGTTGCAAGAAAATAAAAAAATATATATAATGTTATAGATTTTTTCTTATGTAATCAAAAGATAAACAAGACTTTCAAATTTAAGTAAACTTTGATCAAAGATTTTATTTTACTGTATCAATTATTTTAATATTTTTAAGTTTTTAAGCTAGAGTTCTTTTGTAATAAAAAATAAAAAATATTTTTTCAATCAATATTACTACAAATAAAAATTTTAAACAAAATAAATATAATTAAGAGTAAAATTTATTTAAATAATATTTTATCTTATAATTTTAAAATAACATATCAATATAAAATTTTTTATTAATAAATTTAATTTTCTTATAACTTTATTTTTTTTTAACTATTTAATAAGATAATTAATAATTAATATTTAAATAAAATTTTATTATAGGTTAAGTAAAAAAAAAATGGATCAAATATTTCAACAATTTTATTAATCATCAAAAGTGAAATTCTTTAACAAGTATTAATTCAAAACCAAAATTACAAAATATAAGTTATACAACTATGAAAAAAATATGATTTTTCAATAAACAAATATTGAAAAAAACAATTTTTTAAATTATCATAATAATAAAAACAGAAATTATATTTTATATAAATCTGTAAATATAATTGTATTATCAAAAGATATTCAATTTTTTATTATTAAAATAATTTTATATCTGTTTTTAAATATTAACAAAACTTTCAAGAATTCAATTAAACAAAGATTATATTTGAAATTTTTTTATCAAAATAAATACAAGAAACAAATTTTTTTTCAATTTCAACAAGCTAAATTGTTTCAAGAATAATATTATTCAATTTAATAGGAAAATTAAGTTTAAAATAGTTTTCTTTTGAATACTTGTATTTTTATTGTATACTTGAGAGATATAAACATTATTAACTTGAATTTCAACTCATTGGCTCAAATTCTAAGGTATAAAGTATAAAATAAAAAAAGTATAATACTTCAATATTCTTTAAAGAGATAAAAAAAAAACATTATTAGTTAATTTTATCAAACTTTTCATTAAGCTAAAATTCCTTACAAAATTCATGTTCTTGACAAAAGCATTACATTCAATGTTATAAAATCACAATATTTTTTTAATTACTTTTAGAAACTTATTTTAATATACAGTATATATTTATTTCCTACTTGAAACCCTTTAAAAAAGCTTGAGTGAGTTCTAGAATCAAAGAACTTAAAAAGGTTCTTCATTATCCTTACCAAGATTTCATTATCTTATCTTGATCCTCTCTTTCCAAATCTCTGTTACCCACTAATCTCAATCGATTAAATCTCATAATTTATAAGTCAAACTTTGTTGCAAATTATTTCTATACATTGGATAATACCGTATGTTCGACGGCATCTTCATTTAACCAATATTTTTTATTAAACGTTAGATTGCTGCATATCTGCATAATATCTAAATGTATGTATATAAAGTGTATAAGTAATTATTATATCATGTTTCAATGTTCGTTATTTATTTATGGGTCTATGATATACGATAAATACAGTATAAATAATTGTTATTTTAAAAAAAGAAACCTTGAGAGTAATTGAATATGATTTTTTTTCTCATTCAATATTATACTCTCGGCAAAAAATTATCAATCTCTGGTGGAGCACGGACCGGATAAGATCATATCGGATAAGAATTTAAGGTTAACTTGGATTAACGAGTTTCCGCAAATTCGAACCACACTCAAACATCTGATCAACTTAATTAAATTGTTTCTAATTTATGGCATATATCGTTTTAAGTAAATATTGTTTGTTACATTGGAAATAAACCACATGATGGTGCGTGCAATCGAAGCTCACGGTCGAAGGTCAGTCAACGCATTTTTGTTTTGTGTCAAGTAAAAATAGATAACGTAGTATATTATTGAACCGCAATTTTCGGATTGAAACCAAATTATCATGTCAAGCGTAATGTGATGTCAACATCCTTCATGAGTAGTGTGATGTCAATAAATACATCTATGCACGAATACATGACCACCGGAATCCACGACGGTTAAATGAAAAAAAGAAAAAGAAAAAGTTAGTTGACAAATTCTTTGTCAGATAGATATAAACAAAAACAAATGTAAATAACGAATATTTTCTCAGGATTGCAGAATTCGTACGACATCACAAATCATATAGTGGACATCAGAGCGAAATATTGGTTTTCATCTTCGAATATGTGACTAATGGAGTTCAAGTAAAAAAAAAAAAGAAAAAGAAAAAAAAAACCTTACCATTTTTAATATTATAAAAGAATTTAAAAAAAAACGATATCAATTCCAAAAAAAAAAATGATGAGATTTGCTTTATATAGTACACTTGCATTCCGATCGACGCTAGTAAGCAATCTTACTGGTCAATCCGGATTTGCCAAATTTATCTTCGTAGTGGGAATCTGGGTTTTTCTCAATAAAGGATGGTGCAATGATCCAGAGTTGACCGATTCTATTGCAAAATGAAGAAAATGAAGACAGACGTTTTATGATCCTTTGAACCGTCCAATTGTTACTCGGAATTGTAATAGTATGAGGAAACTAATGATAACACACAAGCATGATGCTCAAGTTATTATATTAAAGATTTACTTCCGACCATCGTTCTTTTTTACATCATCGACGTGAATCGTGCGTTATTAGTAATTCATAGATCTCTCTACACATCATAAACACCATATACGTATATACGTATATATACACTGGTTGGCTCTTTTTTGTCTGTCGTGGTTATTCTGTTTCGAAAAATGGTTATTTAAATTATAATATTAATAGTAAACTGTCGACATCACGCTTCTCTCTTATATGAGATGTTATGACAACGTTATTGATTATTCATCACTTAATTACCTTCCTTCCCTTTAATTTTTTCTTGACGATTACAGCTTTGTTGATTTTTCTATTTACACTCCTAAATTGAATATTTCAAATAATAAATAATAAATAATCTTTACTCGAATTTTGAGAATATCTTCAAGATGAATTCAAAATCACACTTCGATGGAACAGAAACAGAAGAGCAATCACCCGAAAGAACATTTAATGTTAGTGTAATGACCGAAAAAAAAAGAGAATCTCAAGATATAGATGTAGGTGCAAAAGGGGACCTTGAAACGTCGACAATCTTGAGGTTTCCACTGACAAACTGGAAAGTTGAACAGGCTTATTACAGTGCAGAGCTTCGAGATTACGTGAGTGCAACGAGCAAGAAGGAAAAAAACTTGAACTTTTGTTTTTATCATTTCTCACAACAACTTCTCCTCAAAATAGTTAACCATCCACGAGTTTAGGAAACGACTCGAAAAATTCAATGACTTCTCACACAAATTTCGAGTGAACCAGATGATAATGATTTTTCCATGGATACTCTTGTGCATAATTCTTATAGTCAGCTTAACTCCTATAGAAAATCACGGGCAACTCGTGTCTCCGGAAAAGATAATTTGTGGAGTTTTCTTATTTACCATCGCCGTAGCCTCTGTCTGCTATTGGTTTATTTTGCATAAGGGGAAACAGGTGCGCGCGTGATTTTCTATTTCCGACCAATCCTTGCAGTTCTCTTAACATTTCTTACCGTTTTGTATGAATAGCGAATAAAATACTTAAACAAATTGTTGGAAGAATACAACGAGATGGATCTCCCTAAAAATATTAATTGGCAGTTGCTCAAGTCGAATAACTACCCTGATGACAAGTATAGTAAAATGGTAATAATTTCTATGGTATCTTTGACACACGAAAATCGGACATTTTTGCTAAGATTTTTCTTTTTCACTTGTATATGCATCAAAAAAGTGCTTGAACATTGAATTGGGTCCGCTTCTGATGTACCAAAAGGAACCAACGCTCAAAGAGGTCCCTCGGGTAATCACGATTCACGATTATATTGCCGATTATCATATTGACGACAAAAGGGACAGCATTGTTAATATCAGAGAAAGCGTAGAATCTATTGACAGTGTCGATATAGAAAACATCCAAATTCGCACGGCGGTCAGAACGAGATATTATCGTGAAGCGATTCCGAACATACCACCGCCAGCTTATCATGAGGGCTTAGGGAAAAGCATGAGTACGATTGAAGAAACGTGTGAAGAAAAAATCGAAGATGATTATAAGACTTTTGCCTGTAATGATGATGGTGTTAAGCCTGAATCCGAGTGTCATGAGACGGACTTACCTGTTTGAAAGAAATACAGGTATCTCCGGTCTCTTTGGGGAAAGGTTACCTCCACGACTCAATGATCGGATTCTATTTACCTAATTTGATACATCACATAAATATAATCAAACGTGCATAATAGCAATTATATAGCACATCATTTTATAAACACATTGTCCTTGTACTTCTAATTCATTGTTTGCATAGCAAAGGACGATTCCATTGTTTTGCTTTAATATAGTTTTTGAAATTTTCACAAGTATTGTTAATTCGTAGACATCGAATTACCAAATCATTAATTCCAAATGTCCGAGAGGAAAAGATCAATCCACACCGAATCAATGACCATTGTAACTTTTTTGAAAGAAAGGGATTGTTTTTCTTTGATATTATTTCAATGTTTTTTTAGAAATTTTAACTTAGATGCAATATTAATGCTACACAGTAGTTCGGTGAAATCTTTTTATTTTTATGAATTCGCAGATTAATTTTTTATAGCACAGCGCTTATCTATTATTTAATTACTAAATTCGTACAATAATTACAATCATGCGTGCATACGTTACATATTGTGCGTGAAAGAAAAGATTGGGTTTTTTTGAAATTTCGTTTTGTTTTATTGAAATTCTCACATGGCTCAATTCTATTAATAAAGTAATCAATTGAATTCGGAAGTTGCAAAGTTTAGAAAGTTTAGTTAAAAAAAAAAAAAAAGATCATACATAAAGTTCTTTATACGGTATATTACAGTTATATACAGATATGCAATATACAGTATATCAAGCACGAAGAAATTACTTGAAGAAATTACAGTATATGATCTAACATGTCAAGAACATTTTTATATTTATATTTTCTTTTTTACATGATTTTTTTTGCAATCAAAAAGTCATGAGTAAATAAATAATAATCTTTTCGATGAATATTTTTTATCGTAACATTATCATTACAACACTGAATGTACAGTAAATAATATTATAATAGTATACAGTACAATACTTACAGTATTTGTTAAATTTTTCCTTGTGACTATTAATGTTTTTTTTTTTTTTTCAAATACTGTATCTCGAATATTTTATAATTATTTTAAGTGTAAAGTTCTTTATTTGATTTTATTATGCTGTGGAATCAAAATAAAAATTTTTCGATATCGACATGCAACAATTCTTGAGTTTATTAAAAAAAAGACTTTCTTTGTTCACGCCTTTCATTGGAATATGCAAATAACATTTAGAATGTCGACAAATTTTGTAACAGGTAAATGAATAAACTTATTTGGCAGGTCGGTCTGCAAATGCTGTGCGTACTGTACATTGTACTATGAATATCTCAAAAAATATACTATGCTGTAGATGATTGGAATTGAATTCGTATATCATTTTTGAAACGAACTCGTTGCCGTGAGAATCTTTTGTTTATTTGAAACATTAGAAGGTGGCAATGCGTAATATGTGTGGAAGACATGAGAGTAATGTTACGTGTTTGTTATAATTATTGGCTAAAATGTGAAATGTAGAGATCGCTGAATGGTTTTTTGGGGGGATGATAAATTGAATTCGTAATTATCACGTGCGACAGTGAGCTGCCTTATGACCAACCAATCCGCACTAAGAAAAGTCATGAGTATCAGGATTTCCTTCAAATCAAAAAGTTTTCGTGACGCGAACAAGCTTACCCGATAGCAAATAAATGCCGGTTTTTTATGCCGATGGGAACGAAATTTTGAGGAGGCACGTTGTTGCTGAATAGAAAAAGAGGTTGACCTCGGGGAACGAGCAACATTAACGATTCAACCACAGATGATTTAAGATTTTACCCAGTATCTTTCATATGCTTCTTTCTGCTCCTTCGGGTAATTAACCGTCGGACTGTTGGCGACAGAAAGACAAATGTTTATTAGGCGTCTGCACAGGCTCGATGAGCAACTATTATCTGATCAACAGAGGAGCTTACTGGAAGTCGGGACATTCGGCACCTCTCAGACATTCACCGGAAATATATGAAGGACAAGCCACTTTTCGTAGATGTTTCTTCTTGCAATGAGGTCCTAGATTGAGGTGATCAATATGTCAACGTCCGCATACGCATCTGATCATCAATTCTTCATTCATTACCTTTAATGCAAAATCCTTTGTCATAATTCTCGCACATCTCATCCTCTCCGTCCTCATGAGAATAAATGCAATCAGGTGTCATACACTCCCCAAACAAGGTATAATAAACACATTTTGGAACTTTCTTTAAATTATACTCGTGCAGAAATTCACAGTAATCGTCTCCTTTCATGCACAGACCTCTCAACCAATGCTTGCAAACCACCAATTTTTTCGCGGAGTGTAGATAACGACACGATGTTCCACGGTTACACACGCCCCTCAGGAAATCCTGACATACTTCATTTGAAACGTGTCTATTTGCTTTGCGTTTCAGATGTTGAAAGAATTGTTGGGGTTAAAGGAACGTGAAGATAACGATGCAAAAATCAATGATCGTTATATATATATATATATTTTTGCAAACGATAAATGAAAAAGAATTGTTTGTTTATTGTTATCTGCATCCATCCGAATCTATTGTTCATCGAAAGAATAAAGGAAAACGACGATAAGAAAACGATCAACCTTTTTTTTACCCGATTACCTACGTGTCTTGTCAAGAACTAATCCCAGCTCGGATTTCACGAAACCCTCGAAATCAAATTTGACGTCTCGTTTATCATTCGAAAAGAAAGATTTTATTTTTTCCGCGACTATCATTAATTTGAATTGTAACCTAAAACGTGTAAATAGTGTTAATAGTGCGCGGAAGTAGTTAAATGCACTATTTCTTTTTTTTTCTTTTTTAAAAAGGTCTTTTTTTTTATGAAAAAGCTCCCACCTCAGAATATTAATCTGATACACGTTAAAATGGATATCGTTATGAAAAGTATTTATAAGAAACTTCCGAGAATGATTACATATTTGATGATGACGTAAAGGCTATTGGTAATCATAACGTAGAATTTTTATCAATGACTTTCTAATCAGAGTCTCTTACACGAGGGGGAACTCGATTAAAAATTTGTCGGGAGTTAAAAAAATTCTTGGTGAACTCTCCGGAATAATAATAATAATACAGTAATAAAGAGTGCGCACGAAGAAAAATCTTTTTTATACGTTCCGCATAGCTGAAAATGTGCATTTTTTCTTGTACTTTACTCATATCGCGAAAGTTTGTGATTACAATTGAACCGATTATATTTCACGTCACATGCGTATCGGACTTATACAGTAATTGGTCCTCTGTGATATAGGATTTTTTTTTTTTAAATAGACGACCGGTGCAACACTAAAAAATAGTCCGAGAACCAGTAAAGGCTGGATCACAAAAATTATCTACGCATTCTTTTTCCGATAGTGGGCAAGACTCGATGGCACGTTAAAAAGAATTAATTTTAATATTACGCGCACACGCACATGCAAAGAAATAAAGTTCTTACCAACTCCTGAAAATCCAAATATATACAGTATATCCAATTACACAGAATGTTAAAAGGATTCCTGAGAGTTAATCCCGCGCCTCATCAAATGACATTCATAAATAAATAAATAAATAAATAAATAAGTAGATACGTGAAAATGAATAATGCTAATTATGTATTTCCATTATTTAACCGATTCTATTTTCAGTGGCAATATCAATTCCATTGAGGATACAAGAATGAAATTTATCGATCACACAAGATACGCGTAATGAATAGTTGCCTTGATAAATGATGATCACAAAGGACACTACAAAACCTCGTATCTCTACGTTTATTACTAACGAACGAAAACGAGGTTTTGGGAAAAACCAACATTCTATTTGCATTAAATGATGTGCACAAATTAAGTGTTTGTATCAATCAGAACGAGAGGACGTTCGATAATCTAGAACAAAATATCCAAATCCGTACACAATAGTTATTTATTGCGACATTTCTTTAACTGTAATCCATGCCTGATGGTTGACGGCATAACTTTGATGCGAGAACGATAGTCAATTTCTTTGAAAGTGTAGTAAATATTTTGCTGATAGGTCACATTATCAACATTCAATGATTCCCGTTATCCCCGTCCAATCAGATTTCGCAGATTTTCCAACAACAAGGAACGTAATTTCCTTCTGGACATATATAGTAACGAAGAACCCGAGCGCTGAAAATATGTTTATAACACCAAAACAAAAATATCACCGCATAATAAGGAACCAGGAATAGATGTCAATGCGTATTTGACGAATATTAGTGTGGAACATTACCGAATAGATCGAACGAACTCACGATGCATGTTGCACATTTTACATACTGTAATTTCTATCAAAATTTGAACTATAAATACATCCGAATCTTTTGGACGTGGAAATGATAAATAGACAACTTCATTCCAACCAACCCAATCTTCATGAACTTTTGTCTATTTCTTGAGACTTTATCTTCTCTTAAATAATTAGAATCCTCTTTTATAGAGAGCAATCATGGAGTCCATACCGCTGCTCACTAAACCTGTGACGGCATTAAATGGCCCCGCTCAATCTGACTATGAAATCTACAACCCCAAAACATTCTTTTCTTACCCTCCGAATGGTTCTGGATTTCAAACGGGTTTTCTTGGCGTCGGTCCTTCCATTGTGTCTGGAGGGTTCCATATAAAGTACCCCAAAAATCAACCGTTAAAAATCTCCAAAATAACTTTATCACTGATAGGTGGCGAGGTTTTCAGTTATAGCATGATGGATTCCGTGCATACCGTAGACAAAAAATTTTTCGAGTCTACCCTTGATCTCTGGGAAAGTGCCGATCATCAAGACGAACCGATTTCCGACTTGGATCTCAGGTTCCGATTTAGACTTGATGATGACTTACCACCCTCGCTTGCCTATAACAACATAGCCCACAATGTGTCAACTTGCGGAATTTTATATATACTCGAGGCGACATTATATAACCACCAGAATTCGGTTCAAGGTGTGTATAGATCGATCAAATTAAATTGTCCGATCACGAGATGGAATTTGCCCAATAAGATTAAACAATCAATTGAATTGAGCCAACTGAGCAGACCTGAATATAATCGAAAGTGGAATATTTCCAAGGGCATCGATGATATCATATACAGTGCGAATCTTGATTACAAGTGGTACGCAATAGGCTCCACCTTGGAGATGCCCATTGCATTGGTACTTCCTTGCACTTCAATGTCTGTCAAGGAAGTCCACGCTGAAATCAAAGAATATCACGTGCTACAAGATAAAGGTTACTGTGTGCACGTGACAAAACAAAAAGTCTTTTCAAATACGTTCAAAGGGAAAGAATTCTCCAAGGTGGAGAACACCAAAAACAAATATTTACTGACCCTAAAATTAAAGATTCCATCGAATAACATCATACCTGATTTTGATGATGATACACGAGAACTCAATCATGTCCAATTGGTTCACCAGTTAAAGATTAGGATCAAATTTGGCAGTTTCAAAACCTTGGTGCTGAAAAAGCAAATCGCAATTAAAAATACCCTGGATAAAAAGAAACTTTGCTGGGGAATAAAGAATGGTTTAATCTATTCGTAAGATTCCATTGGTGATCATGCGATCCGAAACAATTTCTTGGTTTCTGAATAAATACGTATGCAATTTATATTTGTACGAGTCATTAGTACATACCATCTTACATATTACGTTTTCAAGTTTATTATTATAAGTTGTCGACATAAGATAAACAATGATACGGAAAATACGAGATATTTACATAATAATGTTTTTTTTTTTTTTTGATCGAAAAAGGTTACAGTTCTATGAGATTGTAGAACTGCTTTTTAAAATCAACAGTATATTATAAAAAAACTTTATTTATAAATATAAAAAATTTATATAGCAACATATCAATAATAAAATATATGTTTACCTACCAAAAGTAATCGACCAAACCATTTTTATATTTGAATTTACTCGACAAATATTAATTTTTTTTAAAAAAAAATATATTTATACTCGAATCCTAAAAATGAAGGACATACAGTAACTTGAACAAATCACCATATCTTTAATATGGACGCACCTGACAAATATTAATAAAGCAACAATTCATCTGACAAGTATTAATTGAAATACATTCATTTGTCAAAAATAAAATATACTTATAGTAATATATTGCTTTATTAAAATCCTTATTTTTTATAATAATAATAATTATTATCACTTGTTTTTTTTTTCTTTGTTCAATTTAAGAATAAATATAAGAAATATAATATAGGCTAAGACTAACTTGTATTAAATTACATATATTTTATTCATATAACAAATATTTAAAGATATTTTTTATAAACAATATAGTGTAGAATTTATTATACAATATATTATTTTGCAAGTTTATTCTTATTAAAAAATAGTTAATATTATGTATAGTAATAGCTTAATAAACTAATTATTGTATAATAAACCAATTAGTAAATAACTAAGTTCTATAAGTAATACAATAGTTTTGATATTAAGATAGTATAATACTAGTTTTTATCTTATAACCTATTGTTATTTTAAATATATGTTCAAATTTTATATTATTTTTTTAATTGTACAAAAGAAAGTATAATACAGATAAATTATTAATTTGTTAAAACCTATTTATAGAACTTTAAAAAATATTGAATTAATATTCAAGTAATATTAAATAATATTGATCTACAGTAAATTTAATATATAAATTGTAACTTACTTATATAAATTTATAATAAATTTAAATATTAAACTGATATTAAAGTGATATTAAAATAATATTATTAGAAATCCTATATATTTAATAAGCCTTTTATATTATTTAATACAAGAAAACTTGATAATCAACTTCTTAATTACTTAAAAATATAAAAAATTTATAACTAAGAAAAATAAATATAATTTAATATATAGAATTATAAATTTTTAAAATTTTTATTATATACTGTATAAAACTTTTTAAAATAAAATATTTCTTGTTAAAAATTTGTAAATAAGTTAATTATAAAAAAAAATTAAATATAATTAAAGTTTAAAATAAACCTATTAATTTAATTGTTATATAATAAAATTATATTAATTGTATTAATTTAATTATCCAATTTATTTCTATTAATTTTATTATATCCAAAATTAAATTCCATTATATATATAATAAATATTATTTATTTATTATAAAAAAATCTTTGAAAAATCTACAAATTAATAATTTATATATACATATTTAAAAAAATCTTTTAAAACTTATTGCTATATTAATTATATTGACTATATACAGTATATATAATTATTTATTTTTTTAATATTTAATTGTTAATTGTTAATTTATTTAACTATAGTAAAATTAATTATTTGTTTCTAATTTAAATAAAATATTACCATTATTATTATTATTATTTTATAAATAAATATTATTTCTTTATTTAATTTGTATAAAATTAAGTATATATTATAAAAGAAACAATATCTCTCATATGTAATAATATGATAAGTTAAATGCTAGTTTGCCTACAGTAACCACTTAACTAATATTAAAAGAAAATTTTTAAAACAATATATCTTGTCAAATGATTCTAAACAGTTATTATTACTTACTTAGTATTGAAAAAAAAGAAATTAAAATAATTAGATATTAGTAAAATAATATATTTGGAAAAGTTATATCTATTTTAGATATATGAGTTTATAACTATAATTAGTAGATTAATAATAGTAAAGATTTAAATAGTAATAGAGAAAAAATTATCAAATGATTTGAATTTGTGATAGTTTGAATGATTGTTATTAGAGGAGTCATTATTTCATTTTATATCAATAAAGATAAAAATATTTGTTATAATACAGTAGAATATTCAAATTAATTTGTATAGGTAAATTAGGATTTCTATTAATATTTCAACTTATTTAAAGAAACTGACTGTGAATTTAATATTGTCACTAATTCTATATGCAAGTTCTATTAGCTATCAAGCATGTGAGATTAGTTTATGATCATTTTCAAAGTGAATGATATTGTTAATGGTATTGATAAGCTGGTTAATTTTTTCTGATACTGTTGAAAATTTGAATACATGTTAAACATTTTTAGTATAAAAACTGTATCTGAAACAATATGGATTTAAATATTGGTTTGAATTAGGGCTCCTAACAATACCACTTCGATATCAGTTCGATACCAGTTCGATACTTAAATTTATTATAAAAATATATGAGTAGATTACAACCCATATATTAAATTTACTATAGATTGGTACCATTTCGATACCAGTTTGATACTTTTTCGGAATCCTAGTTTGAATATAATTTGTAAAGATTTTTTCTTATAGAAAATATTTTTTAGAATAGCTTGATTCTGAAGATTATGAGATTACTAAATTTGTTAGCTTTTGTGTTTTTGATATTTCTTTTTTTTTTTTTTTGAAGGAACAGGTAGTCCCCACGCACTATTTTTATTATAAATTTTAGACTTGCAAGTACAAGATTTATAAACTTATGGCGTAGTATACATCTCTCTTTGCTAGGAAGAGTTTAATGCAAGGCTTATAATTGCAGCCCATCCATCTGAGCTTTTTAGCACCATTCAAGACTATAGAAAAAAGAAATTCAAAACCTATATTATGCCTTGACTGGCATTTAGCTACCTAGAGAATTTGGTTACCTAATTACATGAAGGTGCTGCAGCTACTATATACAGGTTGGCCTCCAAGTCATAATTAGAATTGGTACACTTGTTTTCCAACTGTGATTTGATGTACAACAAGTGAGGCAAGAGTTGATTCCAAGTTATACTAATACTAAATACACCAAAATAAAGCAGATCTTTCACCATTTGCATTTAGCATTGACCTTCTATTTGAACCCATCACTAGGACTAAAGACTGAAGGGTGGCAATCGTTTTTAATACCAATGCAACCCTTTGGCAATATTAATCTTTCACCATTTTACCTAGTATAGACCTCTCATTTTGAAACCCATCACTAGGACTGTAAGCTGAGAGGCGGCAATTAATCTTGCTGTCAAAGTAGTTTGGAGGGTATATCTTGATTTTAGGATAAGATGGAACCAGTGAGTGTAGAAAATAAGTTTGACGTAAAGTGGTAATTTGTTGAGGAAGGTGTTGGACATGTAGTGGAGTTGGATTTTCTTAGAGGTGTTGATACCTAATCTTATACAATGAGCCTACATTGTCAGAGGGATAAGCAAGAAACTTTCATTGTTGTCACCAGCTTGTATTGCGGGGTAACTAGAATCCCTAGTCCTCACGTATTATCCTACTGATTTCTCCAATCACCAGCATGACACCTGCACACTAACCTAGCTTATTGTTAGCTGCATTGGCATTGGCTGCCATTTTACTCTGGATACTGTGGAGTGCAACTCCTTGGATACTTTCAGATAATAATAGTTGTACACCGGTTTCTTAGATGTATCTAGTCTAACTATCAACAAGTAAACAACACCAGATTTGGTAATGATGACCATGCCAATCTTTTGGAGGGGGTAAACCATCCGTCCTTTTTCTATAAGGCCATGGAAGAGAGAAAAATTCTAAAGCCTATATCTTGAGAGAAAAACCACTTCTGAATATAGTTTTGAGAAAAGGGGACTGACTGGCCAGAGGAGTGATGTTATGAAGAGTGAAGTTTATAAAGGAGAGAGAGGTCTAGAAAGAAAACCTTCAGGAAGAAGGAAAAACCTAACTTTGGTAGGGAAGGGGAAAAGAGAAGGAGTGGGTGAAGTGAAAAAAGGAGTATATAGAAGAGAGGAGAAAAAATAGGAGAAGAGGAGTAAAGAGATATGAGAGATTTGAAATAAAGAAGGAGGAGGAAAAGGAAAAACAAAAAAAATAAACCACTCAAAAGTTTCCTAAAAAGGAAATTTTCAAGCGTAGAAGAGGGAGTGGGAAAGAGTTTTTTTCCTCTGTTTTTGATATTTCTGTTATATTTGTTAATAATTTTAAGACCAAAAAACTTGTATATATAATCAAATGTTTTTAGAACCAATGAACTTTCACAAATTATGTAGGTTTTGATGATATTTAAGATTTTCTTGCATTATATAATATTGCTGCCAAGTTATAGATTGTAAATTATTGGATTTTTAAAAAAGTATAGTAATGAATTGATCTATTGAATAATGATGTTGGCTCTTAAATTAGATTTGGGATTGATATATGTAATTTGGATTGATTTGTTCTATGCTAATTTGTTAATTTTTATAATTATTAATAAAAGGTTAATTTTTGTTATTTTCTTGAGTAATTAAAGGCTTTATAAAATATTTTCTTGTTATTTATATTTCTATTAAACAATTTGATAGGTATCAATAAAATATATCCAGTATGGTATACAAGAAACTGCCAAGAAATATTATAAATTGATTGAATTGATTTTTATATTATTTGTAAAAATTTTATTTTGATGAAATTGAAAGTAATATTGTTAACAAAAGTTAATTTGTTGAAATATAGAAATAATAAAAATAATAATAAAATTGTTAATATATTGGAAAATATTTTTATCTTGTTGTGATATAATAGATTATATTGTTTAAGTAATATTTAATTAAACTGTTGAAA